CTCTCGGCACAAGCAACATATATCTTCTCCTTGAACCCCTGCAGACCCTTAGTTTCCAACGTTTCATCTTCGTCGATGTCGAGCCCCTTCCATACGTCCTCTACAACCTTGACCCATTCCGTGGGTTGTCTACCCCTCTTTTTGTTTGCCCACTTCGCCTCCCATACAATTCTCGGCAACCTCTCCTCTCCCATCCCGCACATGCGATACTGCCAGGTCAGCTTCCTCGCGTCTCTTCCCGACCGTAGGGATTGGATCCCCAATTCTGCCCTCACGGCTGCATTACTTGTGCGCCTGGAGCATCCTAGGATGGTTTTCGCTGCTTTCATCTGCGCCGCCTCGAGTTCTTTCACTACCTTCTTATTTCCTTCCCATACTTCTCCGGCGTACTCTAGCGGCGGTACGATTACGCTCTTCAAAACCGTCAATTTGATGCGTGTATCGAGGTGCCGGTTTGCGAGTATTGGGTGCAGCTTCCCTGCTCGTGCTTTGCCCTTTTCCGCTACCTTGGACATGTGAGCGAGGGGGGGGGTCATTCTAGCGAGCAGGGCTAGACTCACCCTCAAGGGATCGATACCTTCTTGCTTCGGCGCACCCGCCGCGAGGCGTGCGTAGTGGTGGAGTTGGGTCGGCGCTGCGTCAGGTACAAAGGTGCAGATACGCGGGCCTCCAGANAGCTTCCCTGCTCGTGCTTTGCCCTTTTCCGCTACCTTGGACATGTGAGCGAGGGGGGGGGTCANGGGTCGGCACTGGTGCGTCAGGTACAAAGGTACAGATGCGCGGGCCTCCAGGCCGTCGGTGTAGGCAGCAATGCCCACCTCATCTTTGTGCGCGGAGGCAGACGCCATCAGAAAGGTGGACGGGCACTATGTACACGGCCCTAGGTTTGCTAGAGGGAGCTGTACTGTGTCAGTAACCTGGTTTTGCCGTCAAAGGAGGAGGGGACAGGTGGTGACGAGCTGAGTGGGCTGGTTGACCCTTCGGCGCGAGAATTTTCAGACCAAGAACCGTAAGTGCAACGAGGCAGAAAGCGAGGAACCGACTGGGAAGGACAGCAACGAGAGCGTGTTCGAAGTGGAGCGGGTCGAGTTTGGTCGTGCTAGGACTGGCCACTACGGCACCGGAGCAGCGGCACCGGAGCAGCGGAACCGGAGCAGCGGAACCGGAGCATGCGGACGGCATCGAACCGTGACGCACGGATAAACATCTCTTGTGTTGCCAATTATTTTCCGGTCGTTACTGAATATAGGTGTTGGGTGTGTGTGATGACGTCACTGGTTTTGTAGAGAGACGCGGCAGAGATGGCGCGGATAACTCGAGTGCCTTAATTGTGTACCTGCATCGTGGAAGACCCCTTCAATGTGGAACGGTTCCTAGTCAGTGTCGATGTTGAAACTGCTGTGCCTAACACAGATGATCTGGATAGATTCGGGTGATTGTCAATTGCAATGATGACTTTGGTTGGGTGTTCTCCTTCATTGTACGTCCACGGACTCATTCTGACAGCACTTCAGACAGCAGCTGCACCATGGTGTTATTATTGTACAGATAGCACTTCAGACAGCAGTACGCTGTAGCCGACAAACTTTCATTTTGGTTAAATGCGGGACAAAGGGGGTGATGCTGCTTATGCGGTCGAATTGTAGTGTGTGGGCGTAGTTCAGTTGTGAGCGCGCAATCGTGCTGCAGGGATTGTAGCTGTACCTCCTCGGGCTTGTGGACTCTTTTCTTGCTAATAGTGTGTGTGTTCTTTAGATCTTCTGATGGCTCTAGCTTTTTTGTGACCACGGACCGAGTCTTTTGCTAGATTTTGGGATTATTTGGCAACTGACACGAGTTTAATGTGAAAACAACGACAGCAACAACAACAGCTCGCGTTTCTACCGTGGCCGAGGGGGAGCCTCAGCTCCGAGAATATCGAGCGGATTTGGCTACCTCTAGCAACTTCAAAGTGAAGATAAGTAGTAACGCAGGCCTAACAGCGAAAGAGCTAGCTCACACACCAGCCGTCAACTTCATCGATCACGGGATGCTACAGTTGGCGCCCGCAGTTAAGGAATATTTTGTTCAGAAATTGAGGCTCACTTTTTCACGAAAAATAAGAAAATAGGGTTAAGAAACATAGCTTAATCTGGGTCACACAATAAGGAATGTCTCAAAAAGATAGGAAGGGAGCGGGGGGCGCAAAAGGGTGACAACCCCCGATGTTCGCCTCACGGAGCTTGCATCATAATGACGGGGTAGTTTTCTTTGTTGGGCACGTCAGCGTGCGGGTGAGGCATCATGCGGTGTTCATGCATTTGTTTAGTTTCAGCCCTCACTCATGAGGGGGGTACAGGACCTTGTAACGATAGCGAGACGTTGCCGCTGGATACATTTCGCTTCTAGGGAGTGGCCTTACGTGTAGCCGTCGGTAGTGAGAATCGGGGTTGAGTACGGGGGTCGAGGAAAGCAGTGCAAATCATTTGTATATTTGGAACGTGTAGTGTGCAAACAGAAATAATAAGAAATTGCCGATTTAAGAAATTCAGCAGGATTTGGCTGCACGAAAAATTAAGAAACTTGAAATAAGAAACTGAACGACATACGCTGAGTTTATAGCCCACAAGAAGAATTCGAGGCTGGACCTGAAATAAGCGTTACTTAACTGCGGGCGCCAACTGTACTGCTGTCGAACACTTGAAACTATTGCTGTGAAGAAACGAATACAGGACGTATGCATACTGCTGTAGTCTACACCGGCACCTTTCGACCAAAATGCTTGCAGCTTGGAGGGAATGTGACATACGAGCACGAAATACGGAATGAAATCACCTCACTTTGTTAGAAAATGGGCACTGCATCAGGTAGAAGGCGGTGGGTCTCCAGGTTTCGCGATAAACCTCAGCTGCGTCTTTGCGGGGCTGTGCTGTGCTGTGTGTTGGGCTGTGGTCTGGCTCTCTGTAGGCATTGTGTACGCAGGGGTGAGAAAATTACATCTGCGGAGCCCCGTGGCCTCGATCTTCTACGAAGTCAAATATCAACCGTTTGTCAAGCTTGTCATCATCATGGGGTATGCTGCCTGCATGCAAGGAGAGGACCATGGGACCAAAGACGTTATCATACCACAGACTTTCTTTTTGACGTATAAATACAAAGGTCAGGAAACTTCTCTGCGGGCGGCACACCACCAGGAAAGGCAGAGTTCTGGATCCGCCTGTACCTTTCTATACAAATGCGTGCATGTGAAAATTGACGAGTAGTCAGACCCCGCGCAGCACTCGTTTTAACCGCCACATTTGGGTCGAGGAGAGGCTTTACTGATCACTATGTCGTCGAGCATGGGTTTCTTGATGTGATACAGATTAATAGCGTGGGGTCCATCGAGGTGTCGTATCCCCGGTCTTGAAACATAGCAATTCCACCACCAGAAGCTTGGCCTGGAGTAGAGTAAATGTACTCCCTCCGTTCCCATATATAAGCGTGATTTGGACAAAATGCGGTCTATCTTGGTCAATTTTTAGTCTTTTTCCGAACCGTTTTTTACCTTGGTTTCGCCGCGCTCGCGCGGGGCGCGCAGAAGAACCGGTGCTTTTTTTCAAACCAACCAAAAAGGTGTGTCCTACCCCAGCAGAAGTTGCTCGAAATCACCACCCCAACTTTGAACCTCCGCCCAAAAGCCTTCCCATCTCCTGGTGAGGGATGTCTGCTGCTGGGAGTGCCTCCCAGGTGGCAAAACGCAAGAATTTCAACAATTCAGAAAAAGAGGAGGTGATTCGGCACCTCCTCACTGGCAGCAAGAACGGGGTTTTGCCGTATGGTGCGTTCAAGGCAGCCGCGGAGAAGTTCGGCTGCCACTGGGAGACGAATAAGAGGCTGTGGAGGAGGTACGATACGCAGCATAAAGCAGGGGTCTCCAGTCCACAGCTAGCAAACCGTCGCAACGGAAATAGCGGCCGGAAGGGCGTTCCCATCGAAGAACTGCGTGAGCGCCTGCGTGACATCCCGCTGAACGACCGCACCACACAGCGCCGCTTGGCTGCGGCGCTTGAGATTCCCCTAACTACGCTGCATAAGAATCTCAAGGCGCTCGGGTTGAGGGCGCACTCGAACGCGATCAAGCCGTATCTGACTGACGCGGAGAACACCTACAAGTTGCCTCACTTGGGCAAGGACAAGGCTGCACGGGGGGGGGCGCCAATCCCCCGGCGGTACGAGATCTCCGAGGACGCGTGGATCAGGGGCTCAGCGGCGCTCTCGACGGGAGAGGGGCAAGGGGCAGCTGTGTAGAATGGGGCGGGCGGGTAGTTATTTGCTTTCGGTGTCCTTGCACCTTTTTTTGGCAGAATGTCGTGTACGTGTTGCGTGTAGCAGAAAGGAGCACCGCGTTTCGCGTTGACACTCTTTTTGTCCGCTGAGTGAGGCAGACGAGGGCGGTGGCAGATTGTAAACGTACAGCAGTTGTGGCGTCAAGGATGTTTATGAAGGAGCAAATACATTTGGAAATGCTATGAAGAATGCAATGCATGGTGAACAACGGGGTATGAGTGTTAAGCTTGTGCGAGCACTACTGCAGTAAAAGCGACATTGTAACACCACCTTGGCGGCGATTCTACTGCTGCAGCTGCTGGCCGCACGCCAAGTTGACCCCCGCCCCCCCCCCCC